GTCCTAGAGACAATCTTTTAATTAGATTAGGACATATGTAGACCTTTTATATTGTCACAAATAAAAGCACTATTTATCCTGTTTCAAATTTTGTCTCAATATTACTATTAATATTTATATGAGTAACTGGATAAACCCCTTGGAATAAAATAGGTATCTCTTGAGTATCTGTTATGAGATCATGATCATGAGGATTCAAGGATACTGCATGTTTATTCCTAATTTTATGTTCCTAGTCTAGAGACACTGAGAATGGGGATCAGTGATCTCGGGTAAGACTAGCACAACTTATCTACTTGTATTTGGATGCAAGGTAAAGACCTCATGAGCTACATATATGGATATGTCTTAGCTAAAGTCGTGGGTGGACCTATAAGGGTATAGCTCGCACTGAACAGACCCACAAAGAGACTCTACGAGGAACTCTCACAGAGAGTATCATTAGAGTAGTCTCTTTATATTTGGGTATGTCTTTCCTAAGACCAGAAGTTATTACCTAGACTGTGTTCTAGAAGGCATGCTTTGATTGTGAACCTCGTCTGCCTGAAACATGGAGACTCATAGGTATACTGTTGGGCTTGTCCTGAAAGAACACAGGGCCTAGGGTGATAAGCTGAAGGAATTCGTCAAATCTCTGTGAGAGATTAGGTTATCTGTAAACCGGAGAAATCGGGATGACATTTACAGGGACTCGGGAATCTATGCATAGTAAAAGAGATCATGAGATGATCTGCCTTTAGAGTCTGTAAATTGAAGATTCCCTATTTCGAATAAATCTTACCCTAAACCGCAGGGGTTGATACGCTTCCTTACCCTAGGTTTTATAGGAAGGTAACCGAGACGAAAGGAAATATATACGACAACCAAATATGTGTAATAGGATGATCAAGTCATTAATCTAACTAGTTCTGGGGCAACAAAGCATTGCTAGTGCTCTGTGTTGTCATTAGATGGGTTGTGGGCTTATTGGGCCCAAGCCCATTTATATCAGTGGCTATGTTGGACCTAATGGGTCACACACTAACACCTAATTGTCTAGATGCTCTAGCATTAAAGGTATTGGGCCTAACAATTGTTATTAGCCCAAGAAGTAGTTTGGAACTCCACAGATAGGGTGGAAGGCGCATGGATCAAAGTAATGGGCTTGGATAGTCCAAGACATTACTAATTAATTTAATTAGTTAAATTAATTATCAAATGTTTAAATTTTGAATTTGAAATTTGAAATTTGAAATTTGAATTTTGAATTTTGAATTTGAATTTTGAAATTCGAAATTTGAATTTTGAATTTGAAATTTGAATTTTGAATTTTGAATTTTGAATTTTGAATTTTGAATTTTGAATTTGAATTTTGAAATTTGAATTTTGAATTTTGAAATTTGAATTTAAAATTTAAGTGTTTGAAAGTTTGAATTCAAATGTTTGAAATTCGAATTTGAATTGGCTATGAAAAGTTGTTTCATAACAAAAGGATAAGATGAGATCTTGTTGGAACATATCAGGAGGTCTTTTGGACATAATCCAAGGATAATGGGGCGCTGATTTTGGCTAGATTTGATCATCAAAATCAGCTCTAGAAGATACGGTCTGTTGGGAGAATATTTGAGTGAGTTGATTTAAGTTTGAAATGCAACTAACTCAAATGTATCTGGTCACCTTTTAGGCTATATGGGGTGCACCATATAGCTGATTATATGATGATTCATGATCAGATTTCTGACTAGGTTTTGAACTTAGTCTCATGAGAGTATTCTGGGATGTTGTTGGCAATTTTCGAAATGCAACAACTCCACTTATTCTCTCCCCATAGGGCGCCACTTTGATCAGATTTTTGGGAGAAAAATCTGATTTGTTTTTGAAACTTAAAAGGCTCCTCTTGTGTACTTAAAGTGGAGTTAGTTCCTCCTTAGGTTTGTGTGAAAAGCCAAGCCTTTCTCTACTCATCTATGCACCCCCTTGTGAGGTTTTCTCTTAGAACACTTCACTCTTCTAAACATTTTTACCTAGCCTCCTGCATCACACACTGAGCGCATAGCAAGCCTTATTGTGGTGATCAATCGACGGCCTTACTGGAAGGAGTTCCTGTATCTAGACGCGGGTGGTGTGGATCAACGTTAGAGGGTCTGAACCCTTCAGACCTACCTTGATCATCTTGAGTTTTCACGAACAAGGTATGACATACGTCTTAAAGTATGTATCTTGATATGCATGTGTGTTCCGCTTGTGAAAAATTGTTTTTCCCTCACGCATGTTTCGGCCTTCAAGGCCAATTCTACTTTCATGAACAAGGGGTGTGTGTGTGAGTCACCTGCGGTGGATAGGATGTGCTCTGAGCACAAGTATGTAGGTTGTAGTCATGGTGGCCAGTCTAGTGATCACTGAGATAGGTTATCAGATGAGTTCCCCTTGTTAGCTATAAGGGGTTATATATAGATGAAATGCACCAGGAGGTTGTGTCCCTAGTGGGTAGTTTGTAGGTGACTTAATTGTCAATGCAATGCTTAGTGAGTGGTTATTTGTAGTGGAAGTTAGGAGAGAGTGGTGGGATGAGATGCTCCATGTAGTGGTGATAGGAAGTGGAAATCACCTAAGTGGTCCATAACAGTAACCATATGTAGTGTATGGTCATTCTGGTTATTTTGCATGGTAATATGATGTAATGAATGTTTTTATTTTTTTTTGGATACATGTAATGAATGAATGAATGTTTCCATGCATGGAAGTCTATAACCAAATGAGGTTTATGCAATCGAATGTGTATGTATGAGTGGTCTATTTTCTGTCAAAATTCAGATTATGTAACAGTTATGCAAAAATTCATACATGGAGTTGTAGGTATTCAAAAATTGTGAACTAGGCACCATTTAAAAAAAATGGATGTCTAGTTTGCTTGATAAAAATTTCAAGGTCATTGGATGTAGGGATCAGTACAGTTTAATGATTAAATGAACGTAACTCAGGATGAATGGGTTGCTGTTAATATAACATAATGAGTCCATAAAGCTGTAGTATAACGGATGCTATAAATTCCATAGACGTTCTCTTTTTGTGAAACTTGTTGAATTTAAAAGATAAAGTTCTCATCTAGTGTGCATTAAAGTCTCAAAATTTTTAGAGTAATATATGATTAACTGTTCACCATTGAATTTAGGAGGAATTTTAGTTATTTTACTCACGTTTTTGGTGTTAGGCATCCTACTTAAAAAATTCATAAGTTGTTCCATAGCAGTGTTATGAAACCCGGACCGACCCGGTCGGGTCGACCCGGGAACCGGTAAACCGGTCATATAACTGGTCTGGTTGAAGCAACAGACCGGTTATGCATCAGAACCGGTGTCACCCGGTTCGACCCAGCCGGTTTTCATGAAAACGGTGACCCGGCCCGGTCCCAAAAAAAAATCTAAAATTTTTTTTTCAAAAAAAAAAATCAAAATAGACATATTTGAATATTGTTTTGCTTATTGACTTACATAAATTATGTAGATACAACACTAATATTATCTCAATTATGCACTATGCAGAAAATTTTGATTTAATTTACAGTTAGAGATGTCATTTTCTTAACCTAAAGTCCCGTATCACGATCATTATATTTTTGTTTGATCTTTTATTAGATAATAATATTTCATTTATTATTTTTTATATTAAAATATTTGAATTTTTATCATTTTATTTAGATATTTGAATATGCTTATAATTTTTTAATATAATTTATAAAATTGCATATAATTACCGGGTCATGCGGTTGAACTAGTGACCCACTGGTTGAACCAGTGACCCAGTACCTCAACCGGGTCAATGACCAGGCCAGTTTTAATAACATTGGTTCATAGACCTCCGAATTGAGTGATTCCAAAGCTTCCTGAAATCTTTGCCTCTCAAGTTTCTGCCTACAAATTTTCAGAGTAATTGGAGCACACACGAGTTATTACGAAAGACAAGAATCCGTTGTCATACTTAACTGTTGTTTTCTGATAGCAAAACATGAGAGAATTACAACTAGAGAACCTTAGGCACGCACTTGGTATTCCTTTTTCATGTCTAGACTTTATAATAATTAATTAATATTAAACGGGACTTTAGGAATAATAATAAAAGGAAACAAAAAGCATAAAGGTAAGACTAAGTATATTTAAGGTTTTCGATTGCAAGTGATCTGCATTGTCTATTTTATAATTGAATTGTGAATGCTTTACTCCTCGAAATTGAAGACTCGAATACAATTAAATGGGCAGCCCCTGGATGTATACGGGGTTTGCTACAGAATGACTGAGACCAATTCATCCAGTATCATATTCTTTGGCGTTTCCTTTTTGTTTCATTATTAGAGCTGTACGCTGCTTTGAGTGTTGAGAATTGCATGGTGCCTGCGACATTAATTATGATTGTAGCGAAAATTGTGATTTTCAATTTGTTTGAGTGGATTTATTTTGTCTGGCTGTGAAACTCAGGCTTTTGCTAGGTTGCAATCTGTAACTAAAGTTTTCTTCATTTTATCTTTGATGTTTTATAAATTATATATTAGGATGCCCATACATTGCTAGTTGATAATATTTTTTTCCTCTGATAATTTATTGCTTTGAAAAGCCTGGTTTTCACTGTATAAATCTCTTATTCTAGGGGAAAGTGGATTGTCCATTCTACATGAAATGTGGAAGGTAGGTATGATTTATCTTTAATTGGATTTTAACAGAAGTATTCACAAGATGAAGGTAAAGAAGAAGAGGGTAAGCGTCAGAGTAGTGGTCAAACTATTTCTTTATGGCTGAGAGCTCATGAATTTATAAACGGAAACCACTTTTTTACAAATATTCAAGCATAAGAATACGAGAATTGTCCTTACGGACAAACTATAAATCATGACCCTTATAGATATTGTGATTTTGTGCTCATACGCCACAGCTGCTTCTTAGTTAATAGGCTCATATGCCAGTAATAATATTTTCCACAAACAATGAATTTCTAAGAAATCACTATTAGACAACAATGAAAATGCTTTTTTCCCTCCTCATCCTAAACTTATAACTAAATAATTGAAGACTCAGTTCAAGTTCGTAGCATGGGGATTGATGATTCCTTATATGGACTCACCTTTCATTGAGCTGGATTTGCTCATTACAATATAGCCACATATCAAGTTCATAGTTACCGCTGGATTTGCTTACAGCTTCGAGCACATATATTAAGCACAAGACACAATCATGGGATACAACCATGAATTGAATTTTATTTTTAGGTTGGATGAAGCCATGACTTTGAATCATCATATTTTATAGTTAGTAAAAGTTCAACTAAGTAATAATTTAAAATAACAGAGACCATAACCTCCATGATTGTCTATAAAGAGATGATTTGCAGGTGTGATAGAGGGGCTAAAACTAAATCTGCTGGCTCACAACTTGCTTTTTGGAACACCGATTGGTGCATTTCTGGATCTCTTTTCTACTGCTCGTGAAACCTGCTTCACTGCCTCTTTTGGTAACTGACGAGGCTTGCTCAGCCAAAGTCCTCCATCTACTATCATAGTGTCGCCATTAATGAACTTTCCTACACAAATTTGCACAAATGTTTACGTTTCCACACACAAAAGAACAGAGAAGGAAATGGATAAAATGATGAATGCCCCCATTTCAATCATTAGCAATGTCTACAGAAATGTTTTTTTTCTTTTTTTCTTTTTCAGCATGACGAGACGGTCATACTATTTAATGAGTAAAAATGAAAGAGAGAAGAGAAAAGGTAGTAACTAATAGGCTTTGACAGAGACTGTGAATCTGATATAATATATGATGGCATAGAAGTAACAAGCATATCGGATGGAACATTTATAAACAACCTTACAAAGGAATTAAGTTTTATAAACAGATGGAAATTTCATTACATGTCTATAATATGAGCCGCTAAATTTAGGTTAGCCATATTCTATAGGCAAAGAAAGTGTGCATGTATTACAAAAAAAAAAAAGTGTGCATGGATCTATCGTCTAGCAAAAGCCCTCCTCCCATCTGATCGGGTAGAAAAGAAAAAAAAGAAAGATAAGTCACGCTTAAAGATCACAAAAAGAAGGGCATTATATTTTGGAAAAACAAAAATTAATGCAAAAAAGGTAGAGAGAGTGTCGGCTTGAAAAACTTGCCGTAGTTTCAAATCTAGCATAGGAGTAGTCTTTCAGCAGCCAAGACCAATATAAAAGAGAAGTTAAGAAAAAGTGTTTCAAGACTTCCAAATGGTTTCTAAAAAAAAAAGCACCACTGCAGTGGTAAAGCCTTATAAACACAAAAAGTAGAGTCTTTTACCAAGGTCGAATTGCCTCCAAACTCACTCCACATTTCTATTTATAAAATTGCACATGCACATGTTCAAAATGGGGGTAATGCCTTCTATTGTGCCATTACGAGAAACAGCCCTATTATAGTACTAGCTAGTTGGGACTTGAGAAAAAGTAGTTTAAAAAATATAAAATGATGCTCTCTAAGTTGGAATACTTTTATGAAGAAACAATTTTTATTTTTATTTTTTTTTTGTAATTTCCCCATAAATTTCTTGGGTTCAGGGAGCTGTTGAAAATAAAGTGGAATGGAAGTTCAAGACATTCAACTAACATGGACATTCATATATACACAAACAATATTTTATTCCCCTAATAAAAATATGTAAACAAGATTGAAACAATAATTTTAAATCTTTGGGTGAACAGACAAAGTTAACAACCTGCATCTGAGACTAGGAAGAGAGCAGCCATGGCAATATCCCATTTCTCTCCAAGTTTGTACAGAGGCATGGAATCTCTGGCCTTGCTATTTATTTCTTCAGGAGCCAGTTTACTCATGCCAGGAGTGTCACTTATTGGACCTGGTGCAATCCCATTGACTCTAATATCATAGTCTGTTCCCCATTCTAGCGCCAAGTTTCTTGTAGTGGCATCAACCGCTGCCTGTTGAATAAAAGAAATTTGAAGTTGAATGCAAACAAGGTGACATTAACATCTAGGTAATGTGTTATAAACCTTCGCTGCAGACACATGAATTTGATACCAAGAAGCTGTGTAATGCAAGGTAGCACTAATATTTAATATTGTTCCCCCACCAGAAGAGCTCCTTCCTTCTCCCCCTTTCTTGAGATATTTTAATGCTTCATGGCACATTGTGAATGTGCCAACAGAATCAATATCCATAACTGCAAAGAAAAATCACAACTAATCACCAGTTCCTTTTTCTTACTCAATTAGTATAAATGGAATGGGGTTGCATCGTGTACTAAACCTGAGAAAACTTGTAAGACAGAAAGTGTCTTGGAGTAACTACTCTTCTAGAACATAAAAATACATCTATCCCAGCCACATTTGTATGCTACCTTCTTTAAGCAATGAGGGTTTTGATATGAGAAGTTGAGAACCATGTTATGTCTAAAAGCAGTTTAACATAGATTGTAATGTTGAGGTATTTTCAATTCTAAGGGTACTCATGTAGAATGAGTCCATGAAAGATTTCTAAATGTTCTAGAAATTATTTACATAATCTTATTGCTTAAGCTATTTTTTTTCCCAGAGTCATAGTAATAGTGGAAATTGAAAAACAGCAACAAGTTCATAAGGATACGTTTATCATAATATCAAAGTAAGATTAAAAGAAATTTCAGCATGTCCAATGACACATGTCCAAACAGCATGCAGACTTAACAGTATGAATGTTCTTAAAAGATTTCTTGAATTTTTTATTTCTCTCAGTGACCAAAAACTCAGTCCTTATCACACAGCTTTGCATAATATGGCTTGTTTTTTTATGGAACCCAATTTTATTACACTGAACTAATGAACACATAAATAGAGGCAAGGTCCTTACATTAAAAGACCCTTCCGGATATCACCCTTAGAACCAACAAACCTAGGCTATAAGAGATCATCAATTGCCCAATATTCACTCAATACAAGCATCCCTCACTCCACCCATTCCCCATCCTTTTATCCTATATTTTAAGAATATTTTAGAAGAATTCCCCAACTAACTAACTAACTCACTCACCACCTTCAGCCCATCATTCTCTGTGCTGCCATTTTAAGAGCTCCATACCTTTCAACAGAACAATTTTAATAAGTTTCTTTGCAATCTTTATGGGTTGAAACGTCCCCTAAAATCCAGTCTTCTCCAATTCAGAATAGCTAATCAGTTCTTACCAATTAAAGTGCTAAAATCTAGTGCTTTCTAATCTTTTAATTGATAAAAGAAGAAATTGTGTTTTCCAATCTTTAATTCACTGAATAATTAATCAGAGGATTAGTTTTAATTATCCCACATAATAAATAATTTATTTCTCCATGACACTTATACTGTATTGAAGAATCTGACTCGCTGAAACTAATAACACCCATTAAAATTAACCATCCATATTTTTTTCCCCATTGATTTAAGAGAAAGGGAAATTGGATTATATTTTCAAAAAAACTTAGTTCCACAAGATGACCCAAAATCTTATATCTTTCTCTTTGGCATGGCCTTCTTTATTCACCGAATAAAAAAAAAAAGAAAAAAAAAGAGCAACTTGGTGCTATAAAGCTTCCGCTCCGCACTAGACCATGGAAGCGTCAAACCTACCATGGAAGCGTCAAACCTATTACGTGGCCTTATTTGAATTTGCAAGAGGCTAATTACACCAATGAAACCAAATAAGGGCAAACTCAAGACTCCATACGCAGCAAATGAAACCAAATGTTTTACAAAATTCATAGAATACAAGCACTTGGATAGCAGATCATGAAACCCACTCCATTGATTTTCGCCTTAGCCATTACCATTTCGCTATCTAAAGTGGATCTCTTAACCTGAGAGGATCCAAATCCTCAACATCAGTTACGACGAATTACATGATATATAAAGCTTACAAAACTTTGGAGATTAACCTTTTTCACATTAGTAATGGTTAAAAAATAATAAAAAAGTGATGAGTGTGACAGGTTATAAAAACAAAAGAGAACCTGTTCGAAATCCATTTGGAGAGAGATCCTCTGCGGATACAAGAAAGTTCCCTGCAGCAGCATTCACCAGAATATCAATCCTTCCAAAATGCTTGAAAGTCGATTCCACTACTCTTGTTGCATCTTCTTGATTCCTTACATCCCCCTCAAAACCAATCGCCTTAAAAATTAAACAAATAAAAATTTATCATATTCCACCAAAAAATTAAATTAAATTAAAAAACAAATAAATAAAGAGAGAGAGTATTGTGAAATAGTAACATACTGGGATTGCAAGTGATTGCAGAACAGAGACAGCAGATTGAAGGACTTGGTTACGGCGACCCATAAGGGCAACGGATGCTCCATGTTTGCCGAATTGGGTCGAAATTTCGAACCCGATTCCCGAAGCTCCACCTGTGATGAGAGCAACCTTCCCCTTCAATATGTCTCCCTTGAAAGGTGATTCCATAATGATGAATCAGATTTGACTTTCTCTTCTTACTTCGCAACCAAAACCACTTCGTTTTACGTCTCTCTCTTTGTTATAATCGCTGATTTCTATTCTTCAACGTAATTGAATGCCGTTTTGGCATCTTCACATTGTCGCCATTAGCCGTTGCCTCATTGGTCCATACACGCCACGAGATAGACAAACGTCACATTCGTAAATTTCCAGAAATTATAAATATTTTAAAAGCTGAACCCCAAATTAAGCACACGTGTGATTATGTTCTGTTATATATATATATATATATATATATATATATATACCTCTTGCTTAGGCATCTTAGACATGGGTGGTTATCGATACTATCATGAAATCGTGGTAGGGCCCACCCTTAGCTCCAACACGTGGGTTTTTCCCCTGGTTAACTAACCAACCCTCTAGTAAAGGGTCATTCCGGGTTCCGTCAGCCTTTATCCTCGGCTGGTGATACCCGTAAGTAGGAACCTGGAACATTAAGCCCCCAAGCTCGGAGTTTAATGACTATTTTACTCCGAGTTTAACTCTTAACTTATCTTCTATGAATTCCCTTACTTTATAATATGTCAGTACCCTCATTAAATGCTTCATGCCTATTCAGCTTCTGATTGCCACTTGTCATTTTCTTACTAACCTTGATCTTTGAAACAACTTGATATTTGAAACGACGTGATCTGACACCCATCATTTCATTTCGAAATTCGAAACGCCGGTTACCCCCCCTCTTTTATTACCTCCTTCATTTTATTTTTCTCATTTATCCGTTTTCAACCTCTGCATCACCTTCTTTTCTTTATTTTCTTCTTCCCTCTTCTCTCCCTACACTTTTCTGGTTCTTTCTTCCTTCTGCATTTTCTTGAAATTTCTTTTGTGGACCTTGCTGTGACATTGTTACCTTGGGTTGCTTCCTCCCAGCACGTCATACAAGTAAGTTCCTCTATTTTGCTTCCTGTGTTATTTTAATTGCATCTCTAAATATTATCTCAACAAACCTTGTAAATTTTAGATTGTCTTTTACCTTCTTCCCCTGAAAAAGACTTTCTTTGTCTTTTTACCTTCACCTTCTTTAGTGTTCCTTTACTAGCTTACTAGGTTCTGGACGGATTAGGAATCAAATTACAACCACCATGTTCTTCGCTAGTCATTTTAACTTACAATACATCTTCTAAACTAGATTTTACTGGTACCTTTCCGTTCAGGCCATGCCGAGGAATCGCCCATACCGTTCGCTTCCCCCTTCTCGCTTCGCAATACCTTCCACTGTGGAAGGTTTAGAATAGGTTGATGAAGAAGCTCTAGGACTTCGTTCTTCTTATGAAAACCATCTGAGTACTCTCCACACTGCCTTACAATCAGTGCCTCTATTCCGTGATTCCATTATTACTTCTTTCCAAGTTGTTGTACCCGGAGAAGAGGAGCATATATGTTCCCCTTCTGGGCAAGGTGAGAATTCTTTCTTTTTTGCATATAAATGCTTATTTTCCGAGCTCAAAATAGACATGCCCTTCACTGAGTTCCAAATGGACGTCTTGAATCATCTTGAAGCCGCCCCTTCTCAACTTCATCCTAACAGCTGGTGCTTTTTACATACCTTCGAAATAATCTGTCGATCGTTTGGGTTCTCTTACTCTTTTCGGGTCTTTTTCTGTCTATTCGCCGTGTTTCGGAACGCTATTGACAAAGGAAGTACTCGCCATAGTTGGGTTTCTTTAAAAGCCCGCCCCAGATTTCATTGGTGTACTATATACGAGGATAACTGGAAAAATTTCAAAGAAGATTACTTCAAAATTTGTATACCCGAAGCTCTTCCTGCTACACCTTCTTCCTCTTCTTCTTCTTCTCAATCTGCCCCTCCTTCTGCTTTCTTTCTAGATCAAGACGGAGCTCCTCGATTCCCTCTCAGTTGGAACCGGCATCATTATACAACTTCTGCCAACGCATTTTTAACTAACTCAAAGAATATGAGTACTGAAGAATCTGAAACTTACACTTGGTTCAAAAATCTTGCTTCTGAATTAGCCAAGCAAAATATTTCCATCATTCCTCGGTCTATTCTAGATAAGAAAGATTCCTCTGACTGGATTTGCAGGAAACTAAGTAAGTAACTTCCACGCTTCTCTTATGTTCTTATGTATATTCTACATTTAACCTTATACTTGTTTTCTTCTGTGTTTGTGCTTTTCAGACCAATTCATGGATCCCACCTTTTTTGCCCGCCAAAAATAGAAAGCTGGTCGTAAGGATGATTCTGCTGCTAAAAATGACAAAGTCGTGCGTACTGATCACTCCTTAGTTTCTGGTGAGAAGGAAATCCCTTCTACTCCTTCTTCTATTCCGGCTACTTCAGCTACAGGTTCTATTCCTGGTAACACTGTCATGATTGACATGGAAGCTCCAGTTGATTCTGGCGAGCTCCGTCATAGGAAACGAGTTCAGATTGATGAACCTAGCCCTGACCCTTCTACTGATAAGTCTTTGACTCCTCCTACTTCTGTTATTGCTACTCATTTTCCCAATCCTCCTTTCATAAAGAAATTACAACCTTGCTTTACTCCCGGGCTCCGCGAAAAATGGGATAAGTTTTCTTTGGATCAACTTAGTTCCATGTTCACTGACATCCGAGATAACTCTCTCCGAGAAGCCCACTATTATGAGATGGCGCTTCTAGCTTTGGTTGAACGCCAACAACTTCTTACTGAACTTAAAGAGTTACAACTCTTTAAGGACAACTTTAAAGCTGAACAAGCTCGTCTAACCCAGAGGGTCGAAGCTGCCGAGATTGTTGCCCAAGGGTTCCAGGTCAAACTCAAATAAACTGAACAGTTGGTAAAGAAATCAAATGATGAGCTTACTAATCTCAAACAAGATCATTACAGGTTGACCGAGGAACACAAGGTTTTGAAGAAAAACTTCAAAGACTCTGACTTCCGAGTAGCAGAATTAGAGCTAAAAGTAGAAACTTTGAAGAAAAATGTCTCCACTTTACAACAGGCCGCAAACGAAATGGAATCAAAATATGTTGCTTATGGTCATCAAATTCGCAGTTGGGTTTTAGACCAGGTTAAATTCTTCCATCCGGAATCTTCTCTTCCTAACTTGAAAAAAATTGACACCTTCAACTTTGTTGACAACGGCTGACTATGCACCCATAATGAAAAAGGTTCTGTTATTGTTCTTGCCACCTTCCCGTCTGACCACCTAGGCTCTACTCCGACTTCTGACAAGACTGCCTCCGATGACGCTCCTACAGACGTTTGAAGGAGTGGGATGCCACTTTACCTTGTACTTGTTTTTATTTACTCTGTTATTTGGTCTTGTAATGACTGTTTATTTTGTATCTTCAACTACCAGCTATTTTAATGCTTTTGTAATTATTTTCGTTCTTTCGGAATCTCTTTTTCTCTGATCCGACTATTTTACTAATTTGATAATTTGCTGCCTTTTAAATTGGAAATTCTTTTATTATATTATCCAAGTAACCCACTTAGATAATCTTTTTCTGCGCAAGAAACGAAACCAACTCGGCAATCTTTTTTGAAAGCTTATTTCCCTTTAAAGACCTATTCTTACCAAAATCCAAGAAATCCTTCAAGGATCAAAATGCTAAATCTTTCCTGTTTCCGAGTATGAATTGGACGGGTGCCCAAGAGGCCATTTAAGGCGGCAAGGGACTTTTGATTTCTCGTTTCTGAGTAGGAATTGGACGGCGGCAAGGGACTTTTGATTTCTCGTTTCTGAGTAGGAATTGGACGGGTGTCCAAGAGGCCATTTAAGGCGGCAAGGGACTTTTGCTTTCCCGTTTCCGAGTAGGAATTGGACGGGTGCCTAAGAGGCCATTTAAGGCGGCAAGGGACTTTTGCTTTCCCGTTTCCGAGTAGGAATTGGACGGGTGCCCAAGAGGCCATTTAAGGCGGCAAGGGACTTTTGCTTTCCCGTTTTTGAGTAGGAATTGGACGGGTGCCCAAGAGGCCATTTAAGGCGGAAAGGGACTTTTGTTTTCCCGTTTTCTAGTAGGAATTGGACAGGTGCTCAAGAGGCCATTTAAGGCGGCAAGGGACTTTTATTCTATACTTTAATCAGCATCATTGTGAAAAACTCATTTTTATTGAATTCAAAGATTATACTAAATTCAAAGTCAAACATACTAAATATTTGATGTGCCTCTGGCAGGAGTAGTTTTCTAAGTTAAAATTGATAAGAAATTAGTCATAGAAGAGCAATTTAAATACATACTTGGTTATTATATTGATTCTTTCTATGTTAATGATATTTCTCACCTATTGGTTGTGTTTATACAGGTAAAAGAAGTAAAATTTACAAAATTATAAAAAGTCTGTTGACGCGACTCTACACGGGTGTAGCACAGTACAAATTCCAGCAAAATGGCGCAGAATGGCGACACACTGGCGCAAACCCGCGCCAATTTACGGACTGAACAATGGAGCTTTGCAAGTGGCGCCACAATGGTGCCAATTTCTTGAGAATGACATTTTTCTGGCAGTGGCATGGCGCCTAGTGGCGCCAAAATGGCGCCAACTCGCGCCAGTCTCCGAGGAATTTGGTCCGACTTTTACAATTTGGCAGAAGTGCGGCGACAAGTGGCGCCACGCCGGCGCCAACTGGCGCCGATTTGCAGGAAAAATTATGCTGTGTTGTCCGAGGGAATTTTTGGAAGAAGGAAAAGAGGCGTATAAATAGGATGCCTTTTACAGAATTAGGGATCGAATCATATTCTATTGAAGAGAGACGACGATGATGCTCAAAGAGGGTTCTATTTCATCTTCTTATTCTTCTTTTAATTTACCAAGTTTATGAATATTGAATATTTAGCCATGATAATGGTTGGCTGGTTCTTTTTATTGTAGTTAGGGTCACAAACCTTATGTGAACCCTTGTTATGACGGATTAGTTTACATTTACTCGTTTGTATAAATTATATTTATTTCTACCCTGTGCGTATTTTATATCTTCTTTATTAGAACTGGTCAATCTAATAGTTGATGATAATTTGAGGGTTAGAACTCTAGATAGGAATATTGGGGTT